TTTCCCCGATGTTGAACCCAGGTTAAGAATGAATGGAGATTTACCGACTCCCCAAATGCTGAAGTAATATTCTTGATCATGTGCTTAAACACTGCTCGAGGAACACTGTAAGCAACCACAGGGGTACGGATGAGGTAATTTTAAACGCAGCAAAATTGCACTACGCTACAGGAGAACAGAGCATGTAAACAACGGAATGGCAAGGATAGGTGGAATATAATATCTTGATGAATGTGACAGTGCAAACGAGAGTTTGTTAATGAACATGAGTTAGTTTATCAGTAGCACGTTTCATGGTAACTGGACATCTATTTGCACATTTTTAATACAATGTATATAATTTACTTCGTTATCAATAATTTCAAGTACATTGGTATCGGTAATTGAAATGGTTCAACGTGTAAGTGTAAGTATTTTGTTTCAGAAGTAACAAATATGAGAGTGTATAACAGTTTCCGACCAAGTTTCTAAGCAACGAATGACCTTATTATATGAACAAACAGTTGGCATCACAAACCGAAGGTTCAGTTCAACTAGTAACGTAACTACAGCCAACTCCCATCCTCGGAAACTGCCTTCCTTGAATTAATTTTCCTTCCCCTATTTCCTGCTTGGTCTCCCAAGTGAATGTTTCTCAAGAGGTTTCCCCTCCAGAATTCTGTATTAATTTCTCGCCTCACCCATCAGCACATTCTCACAGATTTCATAAATGACATTACGCGAAAAGAATAATTATAGGGAGACCGAAACTTCGATGAAACAGAAAATCAAGTAAGACGCACGATGAGCAGATGCATGAGAAATTATGTTACGTGGTGCGTTCGTATCAGTAACGGAATTTCATGCCAATAACAGCAGAAATGAATTGTAGGAATGCCTGGAACAGCATTAAACTGTGGTAGGAAGGAAGGGTCAAACACCCCTTAAACGGCACTGTCATCGAAAATGTTTTCGTTAAAACGCCGAAACATCTTAATAAATTTTAACAAAACGGCTTAGTAAGGTTTCTATTATACTAATTCCTCTTTTCACTAACGGTCATCGAGATTTTCCTCAGTCCCCCTAGACTAATTCTGCGATGACGATAGCTGTCTTTGTAGTTGTTGCGCCATGTAGACTGGTAGAAGTTTATCGACGTTTCATCATCACGGCGATCAACATTCTCTTTGTTTTGATCGCCCTGATGACTGAGACAGCAAGCACCTCTCCTCTGAAACGTCGGAAAAATTTTATCAGACTACACAGCGCAACCCAGAAGACAGTGCCTAATTTGGCTGCAGAAAAACAGTAAGTGATTTTATGTGTACTACAAGTCGAAAATGGAACACCGCCCGCTGTTGTACAGCAAAAACACATGTCTTCATCTATAGAAGGCTATATCGTAGACAGAACTCCAGTTTTCACCCCAGTTCGAGGTCACTTGTTCATAACGAGCAGAGATAACTGACGTGGTGACGCTAATATCCCCCCACCCCAACCCACCGTCGTTTCAAAACAGCTACTTTGTTTCTACAATTATCACTCTGTCCTCTCTCAAAACACTGGATTTTATGTAACGTGCTAAATGGTATGCCCCCTAAAAGGGCTTCATGCGCTGATAATCGTAACATTACATTTCATTCGCTTGACATAGGCCTATCCCCCCCCACCCTTCGGATCTTTCTCTGCTAACTAAGCAAACGGTGTCAGTGGTTAAGAACATTTGTTTTACTTTTCTTTTGATAGAAGAACAGTTATCTAAACAAAGAAGAAAGTGTTTCTTACTAGTCTTCGGGATATTGATAAGAATTAGCACTGCACTCCAGGGTCAAGGGTCATGTGCCACTTTCAAGCATTAAAACATTCAACGGGCAATAAATTACTTCAGGATTATAATAGAGCATCTCTATCACATAAACACAAGTTTGGTAGTAAAACAACACATCAAGATCACAATTCCAACAAAAAAAGTTAACATTCGAAAAGTTCATTAATACAATCAAATATTTTGATAGTTAATTTCGTTCTTCTTGCAGTCAAGAAACAATTCTCGGACCTCAGTTCAGACGCCAAACAGGTTCGTGTAACGGTACCATACTACACTCGTATTCGGAAGGTACCGCGTTCGGAAACTGGACCAGTTAACTACGAATACCTGTTGTCTGCCCCAGGTACCTAGAAATAGATGCCGTAATTGCACCTCGAAATGCGCTACGATTTCTTCCATCTCATTCGATACTACATAACTTCTATAATTAAAACAGACCGGATATCCTATCATACTTGAGACCAGACGTGGTGGTGCAGTGGTTAGCTTCGTATCTGGGAGGTTTCATGTAACGTCTAACCTATCGAACCAAAATTAAACTCGATCATCTACTTTCCAGGGGCAGGGATTTTGTCTTCGCCACCAATTCCAGAACGGTTTCAGGGCCTACTGAGCCTTCATTACAACATGCACTGGGGGATCGGTAGCAGAGAATTAAAGATAGAGGAAGAAGCCAACCGTTCACCTTCATTATCCTATACGTCATCATGGTGTAGCGCTTTCATTTAACTCAGGGACAACTTCACACGTTTTATCATTGATGTCTCCGCCTACTGCCTAACTTTAAGAATACGGCCTACGTTTACGTAGAAAGAGCTCCAAGACTGTCGAACATTTGTCCCACCAAAACTGCAGATATAGATGACGTCGTGATATTTCTCTTTCTTATTACTGCACACTTATTGTTAGCTCAAGAAAGCAGACCTCGAGACCACTTGCATGGTTGCAGTTCTTGCACCTCAGTCATGGCGATGAAGGTTCCGCTAAGGTCAACGACCGGCCTTCTTCAACACCCTCTGCCTTCTCTGTCTTCGGGAGAGATCGCCACGGATGCATACGGGTTTCTGGCTTGTATGCACAGGACGTAACGGGACACACATGGAGACACAATTCGTTTGTAGGTATGACGTGAGGAGGGAAAAGTAAATTAAACAGGCTTAGAGTAAAGGTCTTATTTCTTATGAATTAACTACGGTTTGGTTTTACTGTTAAAAGTTATACCAGGGTAATGACCGTTGAACACCCAGTTTCCTCACCTGATACATAAGTTAACGCTCGTAAATGGCTTCAATTTCTACTTAGTCTCCTGCGTGTTGGCCCACGATCATAAATCTCTTGTGCTCTGTACCTGTCCCAATTAATTACGTTCCGGTACAAAGCGCACGTTGTCTCGTTACAGGATGTAGACTGCTAACGCGAACCTTTGCAGATTCCATACCATTTAACTACAAAACAAGTTTTGAAAGTTTTTTGCGCAGGTCTTGTCTTCCGGGCAAACATAAATGTACCGGCTTTCATATGTACAGAAGATGACTGTCTTCTTGTATCTTGCATCGTGTAGCCTACTAGATACCGAATGACGTTTCAGAGGAGTTTACCGATTCTATTATCAAGGTGGCGGATGATGGAGGATGTAAGTTCCTCTAAAACGTCGATCAATATCTACCATACTACACGGTGGAACACCCCACAAGGCAGCCATCTCCATTCTCGTCACCGTGCGAAACTCAAATTTCTGAAGTTCTGTTCTGGGGTTTTCATCATGGAAATTTCCGAAGTTCATTGTCATGGCTTAACGACTTTTGTATATCGATACAGGTCTTCCAGTTCCATGTTGTGGCATTGCTTCATCTCATCTGTAAAGTGCATTAGGTTCATTAGCAGCTCCACCACCGCGAATTGGGTAAACCATTTAGAATACAAAGAAACCGTTCACACAGTTACTTTGCAGTCAGGTAGCTGAAAAGAATTTAGGAAAAATACTAGAAGAAAGAAAAAGAAAAGAAATTAACGAAGCGTACAATAGAGGAAATTGTACAAAATAAATACTGCGATGTACCTATACGATTTTCTACTAGGCAGGTTATTTATGACCTGGAATAGCTTCGTCGGCACGGTCTGACTGGCTACAAGATGAATGACAGGGGTTCAATGCCACGTAGACGCAACATTTTTCAGTACACTCAATGAAGTACTCGTATGTATGTGTCCGTGTATGCGCATATATGCTACATTCATATGAGTATATGTACATTATATACGTAATAGGCCTATTAGTGGTGTTTATTTACGTTTGTATGGATGTACGCCTAAGCTCTACTGCCCGCAAAAGTCATAAAACAGACAAGCGGATATGAATCGCGTACATTTGCACACGGTCGAAAACGTCGTCGTATATTCCGATTTTACACTGTCTGAGAAATCAGACGTAGAAAACGTCGTCGTATATTCCGATTTTACACTGTCTGAGAAATCAGACGTAGAAAATGCAGAGAACAACCACGTCTCTATTTATCAGCCCCATTCATTGGAATTAACTTGCACAACACATTCAGAGTATTACTTGCAGTTTTTTTTTTACCTCAATTTGCTGCTGAAACAGTTCAAAGTCCTGTGTCAGAACAGTTACTTTTTTTTCTAATTCCTTGTGCAAAGTAGATTAGTTTGCAATTCTTAAACCAAGTTAGGTACTACTCAGCAATGAAATATTTAATTCAATAAAAAGGCTATCTAACACATTCTTCAGTACAATTATAACTTCACGTCTCAGGATTTTAATCCTCGTACTAGTAACACTATACAAGCCACATTCATTGATAATGTCTTTCTCCATTTTATTCGCTTCGACATGTAACTGGGATGAATGAAACAAAACTTCACACAGTGTGAAAATCAAGCATGGAAGACCCAATAAATTCATACAGAATTTTAGTCGCAAAACCAGAAATGAGCTGAGGGACAAGGGGTGGTTGAAATGATCACTCGAACAATCACTGCGAGTGAGATAGCAACCAACTCACCATCAAAATTACTTAACTTCACATGCAACTATCTGAGTTACTTGCATCATCCAACTAACCAAACAAATCGAAATCAACTCAACAAGGCCAAACAAACCCAATGAAACCCAACCTAATCAAACCCAAACTAACCCAACCAACTCTCTGGTATTAAAACTCGAAGATTCAAAACCCACACGGTACAGTTCATATTCCGAAGACCTATTCTTAATAAGAGTATAACAAACCACTGCCTTTATTATTCTGAGCATCCCATTTAAGCGGCTAAGATGAAATAACGCCGAAATAATATAAACAATAAAAAAGGAATGGGGAAAGACCTCGGAAAAAGGGTCTTGGCCTAACTGAAGGTCCTTTCCAGTCATTTGCCGGGGGGGGGGGGGGGGGGGGGGGATAAGAAAAACTTCATTTACGATGGCCGGCCAAACGGGGCATTTCAAAGAGCAATATACAGCACTCACCCCTTCCACCATGGCTGTCTGGCCATCGCAAAGCCAGCACCCATGCTGCCAAACAAGTTGCTGAGGAGCCCCCCTGAGAAGCCGATGTCAGAACTGCCCATCGGATCCAGGAGTTCCGTACTGCTACTTTCGTCTTTCTTTTGGTTCCCTGTATGGCTGATGGTGCTCTCCAATTTCTGAGCCTCTTCTTCAGCTGCGTCTTCAAGCTGCTTGAATCTGAAACAAGATAGTCGAGCATTCATTACTACTGGCAACAAAATCAGAAGTTTCATCACATCATTGGACGTAACACTGAGACAATTCAATCCAGTTCATTTTATCTCAGCCTATAACTCTTCCGTCCATACTAGAGTTAATCTTCTTCTGGGTCTTGCAAGCAACTACTTTCAAAAAAACTTCCCAGCCGAAAAATTGCATGTATTTCTTGTTCGCCCGTTCTGAGCCACGTGTCCAGCCCAGTGTAAAGTCGACACGAAAGTCGGAATGGGAAACATTACTCGGTTCGATTCCCCAAGTCGTCACCACGGCAAACCCCGCCATCATATGCTTCACTGCAAATATACTGCATACACAATTGAAGATATCCGACAAGGGGTGTGATTTGGTGTACAGTTAACAATATTTCATAATAACATTTCAGAGCCCTGCGGCTTGTCCAAATTATTCAAAATGTCAGAATCAAATCTGAGGCGGCACATGAAAGGATCTAATCAGTATGAAGAAGAATAATAATAAGAAGAAGAAGAAGAAGGAAACAGTCACAGGACTAAACCGTAAGCAGCTGTGGTCACCCGCGGAAGAACAACATCCGCGAGCATTCCGAAGAAAAAGAATCATACTGACCATTATCAAATCAGCAAGAATTAACAACGAAGACTCTGGAACCTCATAAGTTTCTAGTAAATTAACTTGCTATAAATCACTTAACACGAAAGATTCTTACTAGAAAATTTACGATGAAGACGAGTTCTGAAACGTGTACAACAGATCAAGATAACATGAATATCCCCATCCCCCACAAAATTTTCTCAAAACGAAATTAGACTATTGATATTTTCAAAACTTCGTGCATCGAGAGGGCTCTAACCGCAGTCAGTGTCTTATGAAATCGAAAATGGCTGGCCGCAGGAACGTTGCAGGTATTTTACCCCTGAGTAACTTAAGAGTGCGTTTGTTGGCATCCATTTGTCTTCCCTTCTCCTACCTACAACGTAAGTATTAAAGTATGTATTAATTACACACTATATTATGTAACTACAATTTTAATTGTACTTGTGAATGCGATACTTCGCAAGTCACTTAAGAGAAACACGGAGATGGGTGAGGACGAAGTAATGAATAAAGAAGAAGTTATGCCTACCTAAAGAAGGAGCAAGTAACAGGAGGATGGAGGACGTGAGGAAGGGCAGCTTCATAATTCGGTGGTCCACATAAGTATGATCAGGAGGTCAAATCCAGGGAAATGGGTTGGGAAAGACATTTTTTCGTACCCATGGGGAAGATGAGATAAAACACATGCAATTTTAGTCGCTTTACAGTTCAAAAGTCACGTGGACGGCCAACTAGTTATATTTATATAGCAGAATTTTTATGAAATCTGAAATTAGCTACTTCCTAGAAGTTCCAAACCTCCACAACTCGGAGGTCGCAACAGTCGAACGATTGTAGGGACTTGACTGTCGATCCGTGAAGCTGGCAGAATTATTAGATGCGGTTTACGCTTTTAATACTTTATACCATTAAAGGTTGAATGCAGGACGTTTCATGGCTTAAGAAGCAAGTTACATAAAACAACGAGATGCCAGGAAAAAACTTTTTATTTATTCACATGCTGCCGGAACCAAGACAAATCGGTTCCTGGCATAACACGTCGCACACCTGATCATCCTATCATCCGTGTGTGTTAATATGTTCAGCATTCAAGTGCTTTATGTCCATAGTTCTTTTTAGAATTACCGTTAGCAATAAAAGAGTTCTTATCAACATTTTATGAACACACAACAAAAAGGTTGTACTGCTTATTTGTGTTAGGTTCAAGTGGATGCCGATTGTTACTAACGTAGGAAAACGTCGTGATTGTTGGTTTCGAAAATGCTCTAAATATATCGGGAACACCAACGGCATTACAGAAATCCCGTATTTCAAAACAAAAGCTGTTCCGTGCACAAATTTTGTCTTCCTTTAGCAGGAAAAAATGTGTTAATGATGGCTTCAATTGACAGACAGTTTGCAGTCTGAGAAAACCTGCTCCAATTCAACTATGTTTACTGCGTGTAAAGAATCTCTTCTCGATTAGGGCCTATAAACATGACTTTTACGTGCTGTAGGCTACTCTGCCATAGTAACGTGACACTGCAGATCAAGAAACGTTGATGAAAATTTAACAACTTTAGTAGAAGAAACACAACTTCAACAATTTATATTTTGGTTAAAATTATTTAATGTGTTGATAGTTGCAAATCAACAGTACAGATGAGTCTACCAAAAACTAACCAACGTTACTTCATCACTCACTTTTCCACCGCGGCTGGAAAAAATGCCTACCAACCGATTATGCCAGGCCTTGCTACGGCAGTGTCGCATTAAGCAGCTGTTAATTGTTACTCCCTCCGTTATTTTTCAACTTCTCCTGTCCTTATCTGCCACAGAAAACAGTCGATAACTGACTTCATATCCGGATGACGCGTTCAAACAAAATATAGCTTATTTAACAACGCCATAACCATAATGTAAGATAAACTGGGAATGCAGTCACTAGACTGTTCTGTCAGTAACATCTGTGTCGTTACGAGTTTCCTCATAGTATGCAGCGAGAAGTCGTGAAAAAATGCGAGACACAGATTCAGACATATCATTTCGTTCAAACACGAAATAATAATTATTAACAAACACAAACCTGTAAAGTGAGAACACGTCTTAATTATTCAAAATTCTTATATACCTTTCAATGATATCTTAAATCATTCAAAACGAAGAGATGTCCTACAAAATCCTGTTTACGAGGCGTGACTGATCATCAGCTCCCTTGTATAATTATTTGTATCAGAATTACAAACGCCAGCATGTGCTGAAATTCGTACCAATACGAACTTGTGAATGTAGATTCTTGAAGTTGTGCAAAGTGATATATCTTTGATAAATACAAAGGGGAAATGGATATAGCAATATGGAGACCGAGCGTAGATGTCCAGAGAGTTTACAAATGACAAATCAATTCAACTTGACAACCTATAGGCTCTATTATGTATGGTGACGTGCCATTAACACGTCTAGTATTAAATTAAACGGGTTCATCTACCGTATTAACTGTGTAACACGTTTGTTCCATCCCAGATGCAAACGTTACACTTCTGGAGAAACGCATGAATGTGTCAAAATAAAAAACGAGTGAACAATCCGTTTTAACTTCCTTCTGAGTTATAAAAATACAACTTTACTCAATACAGTTTATTTTCTAAAGGGAGTGGTTCTGCTGGCTCCACCAAAGTCTGTTTTTGTTGCTGACGTCTTGATAAAATTGCTACAGAACTTGGGGTCCATAGATCAATACAACGATCCTAGGCACCGAGCTGTTCCGGAGGTGTGTTGCGGGCGAGGATAAGCCGACGTTTTTATGTCCCGGGTCTGTGCAGGGAGGGCATCACGGATGTATGACTCACATCTTGTTCTAAAAGGTCTTATAATATCTGAAAAATTATGCCCATTTTTTTCATAATCCCGCCTAGTGTTAATGATTTTCACTGTTCTGAAATTTGAAACCAGCACATAAATGAAATGGCAAAACATACCCGAATAAAATAACGCTATTGTAACCTACACGGTTTGAATTATTCATACAGGCCCTGAAAATAATTTGAAATAAATGTTTCGGTTAACACTGCCTAAAGGGTCGATTCAGACATGTGCCTGAAAGAAATGAGGAAGAAACACGAGAATCTCTAATGGCTAACCCGTTCTCCGGCCAAGATTCGAACCGGGCACTTCCCTAGTATAGTAAGGCATCTTAACGTATGCATCCTCAGTCTCGTAGGGGCAACACTTAAGTACTAGAGAGAGACAGTTTCTTACAGAAAGATGCCATTTCCAGTTCAGTGGTACAACAACTTCAGTTATTCGTTCCTTAAATGACATCGCTTGACGTTCCGTTATTCAGTATTGACAAGACACAAAAACACCCACATTTCAAAGGAGGGCAAAGAACCCGCATCCGTTAGACACATAGAGGCTCCTCGGTACATGCCACGAAAGTGGACTTGCAGCAGAGAGCGAGTAATGAATAACACCAAACGTAACGGAATGCATTTGCTAGTCAGCGTGAAACTACACGGAACGGCAAATGTGTCGATCACGATCCAAGATGTACACGAACTGGACTGCTCGAACACGAAGATCGTGGGTTCGAGTCACATTGGGAGCATATAATATGTAAAAAAGAATTATTTCAAGAGTTAGATCTGAACTGGAAAAGGCTAGAGGCCCTAATGCATAAAAGGCATAAGAAAAACAAAGCAGTAAATGTTTTATAATCTTAAAATCTTATTTCTGATCCTACAACTAGCTCCGATAATTATTTTAACAATGTCTTCAAAGTTGCTGAATGTCGAATGATTGTATACTCTATTTTGGCTGCCCTCCAATTCGTTACAATCATGTGATTTCATAGTTCGGTATCTTCAAACTGAGGCTTCTTTATGCATAAACCATTACTGTGACCCAAAAAGTCAGAACCCACATAACTAGCTTAATCCTTAAAGTAGAGTTTCTCTTCTCTCGTTCTACGCCAACTGCGTGTTTCACAGACGAGTAAAACATTCCTATAGTATTTCTTACTCAGCATAACATGTGAAAACTGATCCATTCTGTATCAAAAATTGTAGTTCAAACTCTAAAATAGCACGCGAACTCCAACGGTAGCGATTTGAGCCACTGAGCAATATTTTGACAGCATCTCCTGTAAGATTTTCTTTGTGTAACACACACGGCTTACATTCACTGTCATTACAGATCATTAACTATTATAGAACGGCATCTCTGTCTGCTACAGATGCCAATTCATTTTCACCAATTAAATACAGACCTATTATAATTTGTATTTATTATTAAGTCAACACGTTTTAATCTATATTAATAGGGCGGATTCGATGATATTCGAAGAAGGTGAGCTTTAAAGTGGTCGTGACTTATTACAAGAACTTCCAGTATTCGGCATTCACCTGGAAGATATGAGAAAAGTTTTAAGGTAACCGGTTATTTATATAATTTATGCGTTCTACATGCCGCGTCTATCGAATAACCCTTAGGTTAATGGCCCTAATAATATTTGTCAAATAATACAAATTACAAACCTGTGCATTATGCATCTCTCTCCGCTGCCTTGTTACTTCCTACCTTTTAAATATAAATATTACCCCAGCTCTTAATAAAAGTATATTATGAACTAAAAAATCATTAATACTAAAAGCTGAAAAATATATAAAATTTATCTGTCATCATTAGATTATATAGATTGGTATTATATCCAAACAACTACGAGATAATGGTTTTTGTCACTGGCATCTGGCAGATAAAACGGATGTCTTATTGTTTTTGACTACACTTGGCCCCAAGTGCGAATTAGTGCCTTCATTAAGTTATTACGATGTTGACGCCCCGTGGACAGCCGGCAACTTCTCCGACAACACTGTGCCGCGGGACTGCCGACTTCGCCAAATGTTGACATTATGAAAGGCGTACAAGAACTCCTTAACGTAACTACCGTTAACATGTGGTCTGCATTCTGTTTCTTGAGTAAAGACATAAATGACAAGAACAAGAGATGAACGAAGAAAGACTTTGCTTTTGCTGCTAATAATGTGACGACTAAATGGACGAACAGCACGATACAAAATAAAAAGACGCGGTGATAAGAAAGAATGGGAAGCCAGAGAAATCTCTTGGCCACCAAAGTAGAATCGTATAAGGAGAAGGCCAAAGGACAGAACTTGAAGACGAATGGAATGAATGATCGATATTTATATTGGATATTAAAAATAAGGAAATAAAAGATGTTGCAACGAGCGATTGCATTTTAATTTTTGCCTCGTCCCTGCACTCACACACGTACACGCACACACAAATGCTGCTGCATTTAGCTTTCTGTCACGCTGCGCTATTGTCTTTACAGTTGGGTCGTTTCCAAATGAGGGGTACGTGACGTCAGCGAAGATCCTCATTGTATTCATTAATGAATGCGAAGTCAAGCCTGAATTTATGGCACGTAGTAATTCTCTTCCATTAGCTTATGTTACAGACGATATGTACGGTGTTCTAAAATCCTTTTAAAATATTTTATGCGCATTAGTTAATTTCTTGTTTTTGTAGGTCACCCCTTATTTAATAGAACTCCATATGAACGAGAGCGAATGCCATTAAAATCTTCTCGGGGGATCGGCAGCATGAGAATTATTTTGGACACTGGCAATGAATTCATCTTCAGGGTTGATGCCAGTCGCCCGAGAAGGCTTCAAATCTTACAAGAAAATGCAAACATAGGCTATAAACTATAATTCGTAAGACAGTGGCTTGATCCTCGTACGTGGAATACAACACTTAAGAATTAACAGCTTTAATTCAAACACATAAAACAAAAATAAATCATGGAGTCATACACGTAGCAAATTCGAGAACTTCAGGGACTTACAATGAAATCCCAAGAAACGCAGAAATTATTATTAATTGATGATCAGGACTTGGTGTTTGAAAACTTGAACTTCTTTTAATTCTGGAGAAATAAAATCTGCGACCCACAAATATGTCTTCTTGTGTGTGCTTGCTGGAAGTGGGTGGATGACTTTACTGTATTGGAAATGACTACATAAAACAGAGTCCTTCTTGGCAAAGTAACAGTTGCTCAGCTTGCCAGATTCCCCTTTTTAGTGTTCTTCACGCTCTAGCGCCATTGAAGAACACCTCGTCTCTCGGTCACGTTTTTCGCAACAATTACCTGAGATCACATTACTGCAAGAATAGCCTATCACCTCTGTGCAAAAACGATCTAAGCGATATCACAACTTTCCAGTTTTGTTCTTTGCATTTTGGACATTCATGCGCTCCGTTTGTGGCTCGACATTCATCCAAACTGTAATTGTGAAGTCGCCACATACGCATCACTGTCTTTTTTGCATCCCATTTTCTGACGTAGTAAAATTCAATTCCAAAATACCAGGTACTACGACGTATAAGTTTAAAATTTGAGATTGTAGTCTGTCCAACATATACCTAGAATATGAAAACTTTACGAAGTCCTGAAACTTACCCTTGCCGGAACTGAGACCAGAAATCATGTCCATCGAAGAGAGTCGCGGCTCTTCGAAAGGGGTTGTAAGAGAAGAATCCCTCTGTGGACGAGGGCAAAACAATCCCAATGACGAAGACGGTGAGAATCAGCGTCTCGAAGCTCCGTATTTTACGCCCTGACATATTTGACGGCTTGAACCGCTTCCAAACCGGTATTACGATAACAGAACAACTTCCTCTCTGTCACCGACTACTCCAACACGAATAACTGCGAGCAGTCTAGTAACCAACTTATATCACGTTGGAGCTGGTGGTCGCGACGCCGACAGCAGTGCCGCCTGGCTGTGTATTTACGCCCTACCATGACCTCGCCCCCTTCCCCTCTGAATCCTACTCTGTTCGCTCCAGAAGTTTCCAGGGCGGTCAAATTAATTTGCCAGCACATGACCGCGGTAAATGGAGTATGCAGAAGGTCCTTTTCAACCGTACCATGCCGACATTGAAAGATGGAACACATCTTGAACGCGAGGCTGTGCGGTCAAGGTCATCAACAAGCATGGGAATAAAAGCATAATTTATATGTCCTTCAACACTACATAAAGTGTTAGGAGGAGTTCCAATTTACAATCTTCTTGTGTGCTAACTGCAAGTTCTAAAGACCGAATTTTATGCACGATATTATAATTACACATCGGGACCCAAGAGAGACCATGAAACAGACGGCATCTAAACTGAACGCCCCAAACCGAAATGTAATTTCCCTCGGCAGACACGTGTTGTTTTACATTCTACATAAAGCGAAACAAAAGTTACGTATTTTTCGAAGTATTTTGCTGCATACAACTGCAGAACACTTACCGTAAGTTACGCTAGTGTCACATCAATTTCAAAAGTTCCAACTGCCACCATACTGGTATTATTAAGTAAGTCCATGATGTATAGTTCCTCTGAAGCTGATAATTGCTCAGCTGGTGAATAATTTCCCGCTTGCATGAAACCTGAGAGTTCATTACCGCGTTCATAAAAGCCCACTACTGGACCTTATCCTCAGTCAACTGAAAAAAGATGAGAAGTAATTCTTACTTTTAAAAAACGTAATAATAGTAATTCAGTTCGATTCCTTTATTAGAGTTATTATAACAGCAGAGGGCTTATGACAGGCAAAAACTAATAAGTGTATACAAGTAATAAAAATATAACAACAATAATAATAGAGCTTAATATGTGTTATACTTCTTAGGTGGGTTACAGAGTAGTTGAGCAACGTTTCACTTTAGAAATGCATACTTCAATAACAGTAATAATAGTTTCAGCAATAATTCAGGTCAATTCAGTTCAGCAACAACGACAAAACGTTCAGTGAATCACATGCCTTTTGTAACCATGTGTGTGGGTATAAATTGCTGAACGCTTTTTTGTAAAGGGAAATAAATATGCCGTAAAAGTCCTCAACATCACCGGTTGAGATGAACTCTAGATTCTACTACAAGCTACTGACCATAACGGACTCGGAGAACAGCAGGGCTGCTATAAAAAATACGACCCTTTTAAAGTAAATGGAACTAAAAGAAATGTGGCAGTCTGCGCGGAGGCAAAACACATACCTAAAATTTATGAAAAAAATAACGAGTCTTTGAGAGTAGCTTTTGTCTTAAAAATCGTATTGGAATGATTTGTGGAAGACAGTGATGACCTGACAAAAGAAGTTAAGGAATGCAGAGGAAATGTATTAGGCGCCAGCAATGGTGGATTTCTTGCCATAAAGGAAGCAGTTCAGACACAAGTTCTTTCAGAAATGTGCATTGGCGCTATTGCTGTGGTCTGTGAACTTCTCGAAATAATTTCCAAAATATCGACAGAATGGAAGAGCAAATTTATACAGTAACAGATTACATATAGAAACCTGTAACTAGGAAAGAAGGAGGCCCAATCCATTATAGAATTTAGAGAACGTTTATCGGCTGTCCTTAGGGCAGCGCAAAACCGAAAGGCATTCGCTGGTTCTTCTGTATCTCGTACGAGACAGTGCCGACTCTAATATCGGCTGTCATCAGCGATTCGTGGTGTTTCGGAAAACGTGACTGTATCTTAAAATAAGCCGCGGCCGCTTCTTTCGTCAACCTTCTTAAGCCATTAGCCCCAACTTAATTGCTCCTTCGTTGTTAAAAAAATCTTTTTAAAAATAGTACTACTTCCGAGCAATAACGATAATATCTATATCTGGTTGGATGATCGTCCACCTCTGCTTAGGCACGTGAACGTGAGGCCAGCAGCCAGCTAGTCGGCTTTGGCTCTCAGAGGGCTCTTACGCCACGGATTATTATTATTATTAAACCACACCTGCAACTGAGCATGCAGCAAGGCTCATTTCTTATGCATGCAGTATAATAGACTGAATAAACCGTATTGCACTCATTCCTTTACTAATTGTTACGTAATAGTTTCCTTCGGCATTGTCGCATTAGTATACAACAGTCAACAATTCGCTTTCGTCAGTGTGGAAAGAGCTGAACTGTGTATCGCTTGTAGGAGAAGTGTGTTGTAGACGAGAGTCTTTCACAATAACCAAAGTACTTTTCTTCTCTGAATTACTAAGAAATTCTTGACACTGTCCTTTACTCTCTCCATTTTATTTTGACGGTGGAAGAAAGAGTAAGGTAAGGGCATCCTATTTGTTATTATTATTGCTTATACCATTTACAGGTTTTCATTTACTTTTGTGAACTCTAGGATGATAATTAGGCTTGTCTTCTTTCTAACACAAATTCAATTTTTTAATCCATTGACTTCTGTTTGTTTACGGCATAATTTATATTAAAAGAATTCCGTTAAACCGTGTGGGATTCGAATTTCTAAAGCAACAAGACATGTTAGTAGCCGAAATTCTTGATGAAACTGTTTAAACCCTTGAAAGCCTGGTGGCAAGTATATATACCACTTGCCAGCTTTAACAGTCAGTAGCTTTTCATTATGCATTTGTCGGATTCGTTTGATTCTCAGGGTTAAGAGTGATAATTTCCTTTAAATGCATTAACCGGTTGATCTTTGTAATGGTGAAGTGTAGTGTTTTCTTGCGGTACGGACTGAATTTTTCCAATGATATTTTGACGAGCTTCGGCATCAAATGGTTAATAAATGGGGCCTCTTTTACGAAAGATAATTCTATCACTTTAGATTTCTTGATCCATGAACTTTGTTAGAGCTTTTGAGTGAGCTGCAAAGAATTCGTTTTATTTTTATTAATAATCTGTGTGCGATATAATTGTCTGAATAAACTGAAATGCACTCCATTCTGTAACCGTCCACTGCTTAACTTCCAA